CCCAGCGGTTGTAGCGCTGTGTTGCTGTGTGGGTGATTTGCCTGCAGTAAAGAGGACTGTGGCATTGTGCATTTCAGACATTTCAGTCTTTGAGCTGAAACTTCCTGTGCTTGCATTTAGCCCCAAAATATGCCTTTAAACTTTGGTGAATTCGGACTTTGTTTAGCTGAACTTTTTTTAAAAAAAGTCTGTCCATTGCATTTTGTTTCTTCCCCAAATATTGTTTTGTTACTTCAGACATTCTCTTTAGGGCAGCAAGCACGTAGACCTCACCTTGAGTCTTGGAGCAGAATGCCTGACCCAAAGGGGTGTCCTGCCTCCTGTAGGCTGTGACGGTGAGACTGCATTAGCAGGGTTGCAGAAATCTCTACAGCTGTCTGCAGACGGGGGGAGCTGTGCTCTTGGCAAGAGCAAAAAAGTGTTTCTCCTTGAAGGTAGTGAGGAAGCAATGTGTTCAGTGCAGACAGCAACTCTGTAGAAAAGGAAAAGCATCCCTGTTTGTTTAAAGCAGATTAACCTGTGGAGGTGCCCGATGACATTAAGAGCAGTCACGTGGTGCTCACTTGTGATTAGCTCTGTGCTCAGTGAAGAATCACCAGCTCTCTTTCTGCTCTTCACAACCGCAGTGCTAAAACTTGGGGTCGTGGGTTTGAGTTTAATGGAAGCACTTCTGCTCTGTGATGACAGTTAAGCACATTTATTAAAAGCGTGCTGCTGGAGTAACTGTTTGCTGAAACTGGCATCCCGTGTTCTTTTTAAAGAAAAGAAAAATCCATACCAGGACCACTTCAGCTGATGTGGGCTGATCAGGTCTAACTACAACTGCAGATGATCTACAACCCATCCTCGTGGTCCATTTCATCTAAGTGCTCGCACTTAAAAAGCAAGCAAAAACCAACAGGTGCAAAGTACAGGAAGAACCTGTTTTTAAGAGGAAACAAAACGAAGCACAGTTCTGAATCCAGCACTAAATAGAGGTGTCTCACATAAGATTTGCAGCAAAGTGAGAGTTCTGGTCGGTCGCAGGTGGGAGCAGCGAGCACTGAGCTGGGTGCTTCCTGATGGATTGTGTTTGCTCTTTTCCCAGTATGCCACGACGGGCTGCTCGCTGACGCTCCACCACACAGAAAAGCCAGAACACGAAGACATCTGTGAGTATCGGCCCTACTCCTGCCCGTGCCCTGGTGCCTCCTGCAAGTGGCAGGGATCCCTGGAGGCCGTCATGTCCCACCTCATGCACGCCCACAAAAGCATCACCACCCTTCAGGGAGAAGACATCGTTTTTCTCGCCACGGACATTAACCTGCCGGGTGCTGTTGACTGGGTGATGATGCAGTCGTGCTTTGGTCACCACTTCATGCTGGTGCTGGAGAAACAAGAGAAGTACGAAGGTCACCAGCAGTTTTTTGCTATCGTGCTGCTCATCGGCACCCGTAAGCAAGCAGAGAACTTTGCATACAGACTGGAGCTGAACGGCAACCGGCGCAGACTGACCTGGGAGGCCACCCCGCGCTCCATCCATGACGGGGTGAACGCTGCCATAGTCAACAGTGACTGCCTCGTTTTTGATACCGCTATAGCACACCTTTTTGCTGACAATGGGAACCTCGGAATTAATGTGACCATTTCCACGTGTTGTCCGTGATAGATTTGTGTAGTAGTGAAACGTCGGCTGTCTGGGCACAGTGCTTTATGTTACTGAGAATTTTCTTTCTGTTCTGGGTTTTTTAGATGCTGTTCTGCTATGTCTTTGTGTAAGTTAAGGTTCCTAACTAGCCAACGTTTGTAAGTTTGGAGAGAAGAGGAACAAGTGTGTCCTGTAAGTAATATAAGCAAGGAGAGGTTTTTTAAATTCTTGGGTGCCTTAGGAAGATTTTCCCCACACATAGACACCTTTTTAAATATAATTAATTTAAAAAAAAAGAGTGCTTCCATTGGACACGTGGCTTGAGGGGTGTGAAGGACTGCATTCCTGTTTAGAGTGCACCTAGAAACCCTTTCAAGCAGGAAAACAGACTTGCTCTCACCAGTGAACTTCAGGACTCTTTATAAGGTGGGAAAAGAAGAAAATCCAAGCAGCTTATCACAAGAGAAGAGAGGTACTTCAGCGTTGCTATTCCACTTCCTGCTGCCTTATTTAAAAGGATGGGCACTGGATCATTTGCTGCCTTTATAAAAGAAGAGGGGGAAGGGAAGACTGGAGGACTGGGGTGAAGCCCAGCTGGTCTCAGAGCATGGGAATTGCTGGCTCTGGTCTGTGTCGGGATGTAAGGGAGTCCTGCGCGCGGCACGGCCGCTCTCAAGCCAGGTCCTGGCGATGGCAGAGGGCACACAGTGTAATATTCCCAGATAGCTAGAGCCAATAATGCAGAAATATATTCAGGCTGTCCACGTGCAGCTTCCCTTGGAGACATGCTTGGTCATTGTAAAAGATTAGAATAATACAGCAAGAGCTTTATGGCCAGTGTCATGTCATTTGCTATTTAACTTTTGTTGCCATATTTACTTTTATTTTGTAATAAATATTTTGCAAAAACAACACCATGCTGTCCTGCTGCGCCAGGCCCCGCTGCCAGCCCTGCTGCTGTGAAGCACATGGGGCTGCTGCTGGGAAGCCCACACTGAAACCAGTGTGCCACGGGAGCTGGAGCTGCCTGCACGTCACGCTCTGCTAGCAGGAGCCTTCTCTCAGAGTCACTCACAAAACCCACAAGCTCTGCATGTCTTGGCCGAGCAGTGAGGTGACACACAGCCCAGTAACCTGGAGGCAGTAAGCCTCACAGTAGTGGAAAACTACGTGTAAAAGGGCAGATGGAGTTTGGTGTCAATAATACCCAGGGAGGAACGCTGCTCCCAGCAAGGAGTGTTCAGGGAAGAGATCTCTGGAGTCACAGCACAAAGCCCCATGTGAATGCCAGGCAGTGCTGGGCAGCTGTCCACAGAAAAGCACAGGAGAAACACAAGAAAAGCATCAGGGATGGGAGGCTTGCTCTGTCCTTGAGAGTTTGGAAATGGTTGTGGAAAAAACCTCCCAAGGAATTACTCTAATCTTTTTGTATCCAGTTCCTATGAGATGCTATGTTGGATCTCATTTGCACTGTGCTGGCAGAACTCCAGCATCGGCCGGGTGAACTCATTTATTCCTGCTTAAGCAGGATCAAAGTCAGGCCCTGGCTCTGATGGGAGCTAACACCTGTGCCTTTAGCAGGATGCGTTAAGCACAAATTCCCAAGAGTTTAATTCATTTTCCCATATCTCAGCAGCATTTATAGTGGAAAACAATTTTGCTTACCAAAAATTTGTGTTGGGTCTTAACAGCTTTTTGTGTAAAACAACACTCTAAAGCAAGTCATTATTGTAGCAGGATTCATGGCATGGAATTAATTACCCAACGCTGTTTGTAACCCACATTGGATAATTCAACATTATTTCACTGTGGTTTCCTCTACCATTCAGTTCCTCTGATGGAACAGAAATTCGTATTGTATTTTACAAAAAAAAAAACCAACCAAAAAAAAAAAACAAAAAAAAACCACAACAAACCCTGCAACATGGAGCATCTTTTCCTATAGCTGATAAAACTGAATTTAGAAGGCGTACCTCAGGTGGTGCAGCCAGGAAGTGACGTGTTGCCCCATCAGTTCAGCAGATGTGCTGGCAGCATTGGTTCTGACACCCAGCCCAGGTGCACCAGCTCCCCTGCCGGCACCATCCAAGGCCACGGGAGGCAGGCAGGTGCTGGCATGGGGCAGCCGCACAGCTGTGGGGTCATGGAACCTTCTCACCATACACAAAAACATCACTGGGGCTGCCTCCAATTTGTTTACAAGACTCCTGACGGCAAACAAAGCCTTCTGACTTTGGAACTGACTGAAACACACCCAGGTAAAAATCTACCCGTGTTGACCAGCAACACCAGTGCTGGCCGGGCGTGCCAGCAGGGAGACCGCTCTGCGTCACCAGCCATCCCCACGTCACGGCAGAACCAACACCCCACGTCACGGCAGGCCCGGCACGCAGCACGGCAGCACCGGCAGGCCATCCCGGCAGGGCCCCGGGCGGTACCGGCAGCAGGAGCGGTGCCCGGGAAGGGTTTTTCCACTGACGCGACGCACCGCTGGCAGTCCTTCCCAGAGCATCCTCCGCTCTGAGCACCAACGCAGAAGCCGCGGGTGCCTCCGCTCCGCTCCGCGCGGCAGAGCAGCGCCGCCCCGCGAGTCTCCGCGGCCTCCCCGCACCACGCGCCGCGCCACCGCCCCGCGTCGCCACGGAGACCGCACGCGGCGCCGCAACGGCCGAGACCGAGCGGGACCGAGCGGCAGCTGCTCGGACGGCCGCCGGGCGGAGGAGGCGGGGGGCGGTGCGGGACCGGGCGCCGTTGTCCCGAAGAGCTCCCGCGCGTCCACCCGCTCGGCAGCGAGCCGGGGCCGAGCAGCGCCTCCGTGTGCGCGCCGCCCGCCTTTCTGCTCGCACACGTCGGGAAAAGTTTGGCGTAACGCGATGTTGTTGTAAGGCGGTTGCTTGGAAGCCGTTGCGCGGGACTAACACGCGGCTTTCTGCCTCAGACAGCGGACATGGAAGTGCCCGACGGCGTCGGCGCCAGTGCCGCGCAAAAGCCACCGGGAAGGTCACCGCCGCAGCAGCCAGAAGCGAGCCGGCTCCAGGACCGCGCCTGCAGAGAACCACGTAAGAACAGCCGGCGGGTCGTGCCGGACGCTCCACCCGCAGCTCCGTCCCGCACACCGGCAGCCCCGCTACGGCTGCGGAACAGCGCGCGGGGCGGGGGAACGCCCTGCCAGCCCGCGGCACAGCGCGACGGAGCCTTGGGGGAGGCGCTTCGGGCCTCGGAAGGCAGCTCGCAATAGGGCGGCCCTTCTCCCGCCCAGCTGAGGTGCGCGGCCTGGGATCAGAGCCGTCCCCACTCGCTGGCCAAGGCAGCAGAACACAGCAGTGCCGGGTTCTGTCTGGTCCCTGATCCTCTGGGCGTTCCCTTCAGGCAGGCCTCTGAGGGGACAGGCGGCTCCTCGGGGGCTCTGTGGGTGGTCACGCTCCGTGGCACAGCGTGACTGCAGAGGATGGTAACTGCATCTCCTTAAAGTGCAGTTTCACCAGGCTCACAAACCAGCAGCTGAGTCCATCAGCCCTCTGACTGCCCACACAGCTCCACAGCGCTGCATTCCGCTCCCTGCCCGGTGCGTTCCCCGCAGCCCCGACAGCTCAGGCATGCAGGAACATCACCCCATCCCATCCAAATACACATCCTAATTTTTTCCTCTTTTCTGAAAAGGATTTAGAAGGGCAGTGGCAGATGCCTGACCACAAGACATTCCCTGCTGCCTCACAGGCTGAAGCCCCTCCTTGCACACACGCAGCACGGGCTGCACATAGAGATGCAGAAACCGGTGTCCTGCCCGCTCCTTCCCCTCAGCACCACAGGGCCAGGGAACGTTCCCCCAGGTGTAGTGATGCCAGACAGGCACTGCGTCCCTGGCCCCAAGCAGCAGGCCGCCCCTGAGCTGCTGGGGCCCAGCACGGTCCCCCCAGAAGGCCACAGAAGGCCTCAAGGAACACGGCCGTGCCGCGCAGCTGCTCTCAGCACTGCTCTTGCCTGCAGCTCCACCAGGAGAGCCCAGCAGACTGGACATCATGTGTGCCACGGAGGTAAAGACTATTCAGTCCCTGCAGCAATGCATTTATGGTTTTTCCTTGAACAAAGCTGTGACTCCACACTCTTTCCCTCTCCCAGTTCCTAGAGGATTTTGTGGAGCTGCTGGCACAGCCGCTGCGCACGCTGCCTGCTGTCGGCCCGCCAGCCGTGCTGGCCTACAGACCTGAGGTGCTGCGGGGCCACCTGCGGGCCGAGGTGGGTCCCTGCTGGGTGCTCTTTGGTTAATTCCTGGGAACCAATATCATGCCAAGATATCACAGACACACTGCTAAGCACTATTACACATTTCACAACACTGTGTTTTGAGCAGCGCTACTTCCCCAAGATAAAACAAAGATCTGTGTGCTGATACATTCTTTCTGTCATCCTGCCTCCACTTTAGGCAGAGGAGGACTGTGCTCCCAAGTGTGAGTACTGCGGAAGCCTGCTGAGGCCGTTCCCTTCCTTCGAAGGCATTTGCCCTCCACCACAGGTTATGGAGCAGTGAGCAGGAGGAGATGAGGGGCCGGCCCTGGGGAGCCCTGCTGCAGTGACACTGCTCTCTGCCTTCCAGAAGTTCTGCTGCAAACGCAATCAAGACCTCTACGAGTTCATCGTAAATGAGAGGAAGAAACATGAAAGTGCTTGGAACGGCCCTATTTCTATAGACTCTCACAAGCCCCATGGCAGTGAAGCTGAAAGACACCTGGCAAAGGAGAGAGCGTACCAGAGGTACCATGCTGGCTGCAGGCTTAGCTGGGGATAGTTTGGATAGGGAACAGGCTACTCTGGAGGGAAAAGAAGTGCTAAGAAAATGAGACTACAGCAAGAGGTAATGAAGAAACTTTTTAAAAGCTAGGCAATACGTGCTCATATTCCAACTGGTCCCCCTCAGCTTTTCTCTTACCAACCTAGACGCAGGTAGGGCCCAAAATGTAATTGCAGCTGTGGCAGGGACAATATTTAGGTATTGTTTTTGCCCCAGGTGCCAAAGCAATACATGAATTTGTATTTCTCTATTTTGCTGCTCAAACCGTGGCACATTTGAATTCAAATCCACAGAAGTCAAACACACTCAGCCAAGACTCGGGCTGAGCTCTCTAGCAGGAGGCACGAAGTTCATACAGGCATTCTACCCTAAGGCACAACGACACAGCACACCTGGAAATAAACTGTTAGCTTCCCTGTAGGCAGTCCGATGGCGTGAGTACCTCGTATTACATGCAGAGCATCAACCAAAGCCAATGTTGGACATTGTCATGTTTATAAGGCAGAAGAGCAGCGAAAATATCCCTGGCTGGTACCTCTCATTCAGCTAGTGGGCAGCACTGCTTTCACATAAAATCTCCATGTACAGTCCATCACATTGTTTAGCTCTGCTATCAGTGTAAGTGATTCCATTGCAATCACAGGGTGTTTTCACTGAAATCTCTGTGTGGGAGCAATTTGTTTCTCCTGAGATAGTATTGTACCGGTGATATGCCATTGCTTCTAACAGTTATTTGCAATTATAGGAGTAGAGATGAAAACAGGTTCAGAAACTTGGATTTCTATTGCAAGTCTACCCAGTACCCACCCACTTCTGAAGAGGGATATGAAATGCCTCTCATGAACACTTCTCTTTCCAGGCAGCAGGAAAGACAACTGGCCAGACAGTTAGCCTTCCTGGCAGCTGAGCCGAGAACTGCAGCTGAACGTGAGTTTGTGTTTAAGTTTTTGTGTGCTTGTTACAACAGTGAATTTTATGCAATTGCTTGCCTCTAACACTCTCTAATTGAATAGAAGGAAGTATGCAGCAATGTCTCAGTTCATTGTCCAGTGTCCAATCCCATTAAATTAGATGCTACTATATTAAATAATCTCACGTGAAAAAAACAAAAGCAGTTCCAGTGACTTTCATTACTGACACTTAAACATTTCAGCTGAGACGCATAGAAATTGAACTTACAGAGTAATAAGTTGCTAAAGCCAAGGCTTGAGAGGTAGAAGCTGCCAGAATAGCGGTGATCTATGTTTTAACTAACAAAATGAACATTCTGCAAATTCCCATCTCAGGCTGTGAGTGACTGAGCAGTTTTTCAGATCTAGTGAATAAAACCAAAATAATTCTGATTAAGAACAGACAAACTGGATTTCAACCATAGGTATTTGTTCACAAAGGATGCCAAGGCAATAAGGCTGCAGAGCTGCCAGCCCTACTCAAACACACAAAGCCTCCTTTTGCTCCCCAGGTCCAGCACACCTCAGCACCATTTCCTACCTGCTTTCTCAGGAGCCACCATCTCTGACGGGCTGGACGCTGATGCCTGAAGAGAGAGCAGCAGAGCTCGAGGAGGAGCCCATCTCCTACAGCATCACCTGCTGCGACTTCACTGTTATGGGTGCAAGGGCAAGTGGCTGCTGCCAGAGGAGACGGCTGCACCTGGCTCATGTCATGCTGCAGGGCCCTCTACTGCTGCTGTTAGAGGGGAGGCTGGGTGCAGGGCTGCAGCTACCCATTTCATCATTTCTTTTCCAATCTTAGGTAGCGAAGAATGAATTGTTGGAGAAATACTACAATCACGGAGGGAAGTTTCTTACCATGCTCCCAGATGGAACAGCACAGTTATTGTATCCTTTATGGGGCTCATTTGCCCACAACAGACCAGGCTGTAACAACAACAGCTTTCAGTATGTTCTGTAATGCTGCATAATGGGGTTGCTTGGTTTACCACTTCTACAATCCAAAAAAAGCATCAGGGAAAAAGCTTACAGAGAATCACATTCCTTCAGATCAGCCTGCAACTTCGAGGCAGGAAGGGCATCTGTGTGCTCAGTGCTCAGTGAAGGAACACACCAGCCTGGCTGGGGACAGCTCTGCTCTGCCCTCCAGCTGCCTACATCCCAGGGCTGCTGCCATTTGTGGTGGTGGAGAATGACAAAGTGCCTCAAATGCATGCACTCCCAGCAGTGAGCCATGTTGGAGATGCAAGGTGTGAGGTGCAAAAGAACCACTGTTTGGATATGTTCATGTTAGTTAGGGGCCAAAGCCATTTTTTCCCTCTGGTTGTTCCTTTTTTCTTTTTTTTTTTCCTTTGTGAGAATGGGACCTGCCCCTGTTTTCTCTATCCTTGTTCATATTAAGCTCAATTATTCCCTTTGCCAGGCTTCTGCTTTCAATCCTAAGATTCTATAAATGTGTCTTTAAGGCTTATAAGAAATTCTGCTTGGATTGTTGCTTAAAAAACCAACAAAGTGCATTTTTTGTCTGTGCACAGAGAACATTTATGTAGGAAAGGACTTTGGTCCTTCCCCAGTAGGACTGCAGCACACCACCGTTCTGCCTGCAGCACCGTAACCCAGGCAGTGCGTCAGTCTGGGCACTGAGATACGTGGTATGCAATAACCAATGAACCAGGCACACAGAGGAGTTATGCACACCTTATCTGATGGTAGCTATCCATCTGGAAACCTGGCAGTCATCGTTGTACGAGAGAAAAAGCGGTTTGTTTGCATAGTGCAGGAAGACAAGGAAAGTAACACTGAGATACAGGCAGTATTTGCATCCAACGGCAGGAGCACCTGCTACCACCCGCACGGCACTGTGTGGTACGTTGGTGTCAGACAGCAGCTTTGTTCCCACTGCATGTTTTCAAAGATCATAAAGGCTGTTTTTATCAGCACTCCAAAATTAAAAGGCAAACACACGATAGGGGAGATGTGATCTACAGGGAGAGGACACGTGTTTTATAGACTCACCAATGCCACTGGGAAAAAGCAGACATACAGCAGTGCTGAGCTGATGCAGCATGGCCTTGTTGCTGGAAATTCTGTGAAGGCAGGACACCTTGGCTGGGAGGTGCTCAGGACACAACGAAGATTAATATTTCCTCTTTCCCTGTTTCTTCTTCTCACACTCCAAGGGCTGTGCCCTGCTGTGTGCTGGGGTGTCAGGCCCAAATGTGTGCCACAGCTTGGTGAACACTATGTGAGGTCCTGTATGTGCTGAGCCCTGAGCGAGGTCCTGTCCCCTGGGCTGCTGAGGACAGCAGTCACAGGGTGCACCCCTCGCTGTGGAGTGTTGGTCTTTCTCTTAGGATAACGATGAATGCTAAAGGAGGGCAGTGCCTGGACCGGGCAGGCAACAGGGTGAGGAGGTGGACGTGGCCAAGCAGCACAGCATCATCAGGACCTTGTGCCCCACTGAGCCCCATCTTCCTCTCCCTGAACCTGCACGTGGGGGTCAGGATCATGGGCCAGGATAAGATCACAGTTTCCTTCCTTGCCATGGGACAACAAGCAAAATTCAACGTGGGAACAAAAGTGCAGGTATTTCTTACATGCACAGCCAGCTGCAAGTAGGGCAGCCAGGGAATGTTCCTTACCCGTGGGGGTGCCCCTGCGTTGCCCCAGCCTTGCTCCTGCTTCCAAAGCAGCTCTGATGCCCTCTTCTCTCCCAGGGCAGCCAGGCTGGCGAGCTGCATGCCCTCCCCAAGCTGAATGAGGATGAGCTCCTGCTGCTAGCCTTGCGGGTGAGGATCCTGCGGCTCATCGATAAGCTGCGCAGCTGCCTGAACTTCCCTTCCAATGAGCAATGGGACAAAATGAAGCCACCAGTGTACCTTGTCACACAGACTTTAAAGATCTTGTACCTTTGCACGACTTCTGACATAAGCGAAGAGCTGTGCAGCTCAGTCAGGGCAATAGTAAATGATCCAGTCTGAGCAGCATGTGTGGTGTGAAGCAAAGTGAGTTGAGCCAGCCAAGACAGAGAATTCTGATGCCACAGTGTTGGCAGGCACTGATCCTGGTGCCCCACAGCCCTGCCTGCTGTGGGCCAAGGGCACTGCAGTCCAGGGGCCATCCTGCTGATGGAAGAGCTCAGGGTGGGGTGCAGCCAGCAATGGGTCACGTTGTGTCAGCTTGTGGTGAGGAGCGCCTTAGCTGGGAGGTTTTGTGCAGGGCATACTGACTGTGTGTCTGATGTGAGAGCACTGCTTGTCAGCGTGCTCCCTTCTGTCTCCCAGCAGCAGCCAGCTTGGGCTGAGCACTCATTTCAGTCCATAAATTTGGCACAAAGATAAAAGCAAACAGCTGAGGCACAGCCTGTGACAAGGGTAGGGGGAAGGGGTGTTTTGAGGCCACAGCATGGCACTGCTGCACTCAGCAGCACTCACAAAGGGCACAGTGCCGGCACTGTCCACGTTTCCCTGTTGGGAGCACTGCTGTCTGGCCAGCTGCAGGCACAGCGCAGCACAGCACGCAACAGTTCTCCCATTCTCAGGGGATAAGAGGCCTCAGTTGAACCAAAGCAACCAACAACCCCAGCAGCATTTGCTCAGGTGCAGGGGCAGCGGGCAGTGAGCAGCCCCTGGCATAACATGAGTGGCTGCTCTGGGGGGATCTGCTTGCAGCCACATCGAGCACCACTGTCCCACTGCAGGCCCTGCAGCTATGGGGGTGATGGGATGCAGACCCTTCACAGCCAAGATGACCTGGGCCAGCTCCCACCACTCATGGTGTGGATGCTGGAGGCCACGGGCTGCACTCGGCCTCTCCGCCTGCAGCCGAGCAGTTTAGCGAGGTGGCTGCGGATGTCTCTGCTGTGCAGAGCATAGATGAGAGGGTTGAGGAGGGAGTTGGTCTCACCCAGGATGAACAGCACGTCCTTGAGTGTGTCAGGCAGGTCACAGGAATGGCAGGCAGCTTGCACGGTGGCCCCAACCAGGTATGGGCCCCAAGAGAGCCCGAAGCCGACGAGGACAAAGAGCACAGTGCGCAGCGCCTTGAAGTGGCGCAGGCGGGCGCGGAGGGGCCTGGGCTGGGCGCAGGAGTGAGGCGACCGTGTGTGCTGTGCATAGGCAATGCTGCACACTGAGACGTGTAGGCACAGCAGCACTAGCAGGGATGGAGCAAAGACACCGAAGCAGAGGGTGTAGAGGTACTCACTCCTGGTCACAGAGAGCAGCCTACAGTAGCCCGTGTAGTTGCTTTGCTGAAGGGAGGGAAAAATGAGAGGCAAGTGCCCAAGGAGGAAGGCGAGCATCCAGAGGAACATGAGGGAGAGGGCCACAGGTGCTTTCTTCGGAAGCATGTGGTAGGAGAGTGGCAGCCTCACTGCCAGGTACCTGTCCAGGGAGATGAGCAGCAGCGTCAGGATGGAGCCGATGCACGGCGTCATGCTCAGGGAGATGCGCAGGAGGCAGAAGGACTTGCTGCGGTCAAAGTCCCCATCCAGAACATCATCCAGGGCCTCAGTGATGCACATTACGCCCACCAGCAGGTCGGCGGTGGCCAGGTTGAGCACATAGATGTAGCCAGAGCCTGGATGCTTCCTCAGCAGCTGGCAGACAGCCACGATCACCAGCAGGTTGGCAGGGGGGATGAGGCAGCTGAGCAGCACATGCGGCACAGTGCACAGCATGCTGACCATGCTCCCTGCTGCAGCCCCAGCAGAGGAGCCCTGCAGCAAGATGTGTGGCTGAGCTGGTGAGAGGGGGCAGAAGTGCCAGCCCCACACTGGCCACAAACACCTATGTCAGTCCTCTAAAAGGCACTCCATCCATTCCAGAAGACCTCTGCAATCATCCCAGATGCTGCCTGTTGCCGGTGGCATTTTCAGCACTCCCAGCCTCACCACTTCCCATCAGATTTCGCTCCACACCCAGGGGGATGCACCCAAAGGTGCCAGATGGCTGACACTCCCACCCATGGTGGGCAGGGAGGAGCGCTGTGGGCCGGACCGTGACACACGAAGAGGAGTGGCTTCACCAAACAAAGCCGAGGCAGGCAGATGGCTGCTGTACAGGCACCTGTGGTCAGCGTGGTCAGGAGCATGGTGCAGGGCAGACGGAGCCAGGGCAACAGAAACACTGTTCTTGTAGGCTGCACCAGCACTGCAAGGCCACCAGCTGCATGCAGCTTCTGGCATGGGGACAACGCGCAGCCTCCAGACCACAGCCATGGGCGGGAGCACGTGGGAATGGGGCAACGGCAAAAACGCGAGGACCTCTGGTGCCTCAACCAACGCAATTGCTTCCTGGCAGCCTCAAACCAGGCCTGCCATTTTGCAGAGTAGGATGTTAGACCCTAAGTATATGCTTCTGCTGAGGCATTTGCAAAAGAGAGAACAGAAGAGGCAGCTTTCTTCGGTTGCTGTGCTGCAGCAGTTCCTGTGCCCGTGCTGCCGGGTGCTGCAATCTTTCCTGCACCATGACTGAGCAGCAGCCACGGCCCCAGGGCAGCTCTGAGGCCATGGGAATCATAGGAACACCACAGACACTGAGAGTGCAGCAATACCTGGACGGTCCTCTGTCCCACACTTCATCAGGTTCTCCTGGCTACGGGTCAGAAAACACATATCAAATCAATTTCTACTATACTATACCAGCCCACAGTGCTGCTCATGGGACCTTTCCTACACAACAAAGACACACTTGGCATGGTGATCCTGGGAAGAGAAATCCTGAAAGGATTTCAGGATTACAGAGCACAGAAAAGGATACTGAAATGCCCGTGCTGGGTGTTTTTCTAAGTCTGGGATGCTGGAAGGGGTGAATGGGAAACAGCGCTTGCTCACACTCAGTATGCATGCACACAGCCCTTGGATGCTGCTGGAGGCTGTTAGCAGGCTTGGGATGCCCGCTGCCAGAGCCAAGCACAAGGAAGCACTGAGTTCAGCCTGAACCAGCCCTCCTGGTTAAAGCACGCCAATATTACACTGTCAGCTGGTGTCTGGTCCCCAGAACGTATTGCTCCCTTTAGTGACTATCAAGGCTCTTTTCTTCCATTTCACTGTTCAGTTTTTCAGGAGGCAGTGATCAACAAACAGCATTCACGGACCCGGTCCCTCCATTAAACCAGATCTACTCAGTGGACCCTGCAGCCCAGAGCAACTGCAGGAGGACTGGAACACAGGTCAGCCTGCGTCCCTCAATGAGAAGCCAAGGCTGAGCGTCTGGCACATTTAACAAACATTAGTGACGGTTCTCACATTCCTAACCCCAACACTTCATTATGTGATTTTGCTCAGATGAAAGGAGCAATATTGCGGGCAGCGAACAGGTCCTGGGCATCACCACGGTGACAGGCAAGCAGCTCATGGAAAATCACAGCCTAGCAACACATCCATGCACGTAGTTGCTTTGTCTGATCTGTCTTAGGACTATAACCAATGAGAAACTAAAAACTCTATCCACACTAGAAATTTTGACTTATCTATTTCAGAAGAGCTAAAAAAACAATTTCATCATAGACTCAAACAGGTTCTGAGGCCACTGCATGTTTAATGATTTAATGGTTGTGATTAGCAACACCTTTATAGCAACTGACAGAGTGTATTCTTTCAGTTGGATGGACAGTGTCGGGGTTACTCAAAACCTTACTTAAATGCCTCCGTAAATCCTGAGGTGGGTCAGACCAGTGACTGCTGGCCTTGTTGCATCTCGTCTGATTTACTGCCCCAGCACACAGCTCTTCCCCCCCCCATCAAAGGGCAGTGTACGATAAGGAGGACCCAGGAAGCACACAAGTAGCTTTACAAGGGGTGTGAAACTGTAGTTTGGACCAAGGACAAGAAGCAGGAGGATGAGACATCTGTACCTCCACAAGGTGAGACCGTGAGCATCCTGGGAGCTCATAGCTTGACTGCCAGCAGCTCTGCTGTTTTCATAGAACCTCTAAGATCCCCAAGCCCAACCCATCCCACCACGCCACCGACCGTATCCCTCAGCATATCTCCACAGTTACTGAACAACTCCAGGGACGGCAACTCCACCCCCTGGGCAGCAATGCCAGTTCCTGGCAGCTCTCACAGGGCAAGATGGCCATAACAGGGGTCACAGGAGCAGCCAGAGCAGGACCTGCAGTTCCAGCAGCTCAGCCCTGGCAGAGAACCAAGTGCACCATGGCCAGGAGAGGCCTCAGCTCCATCCTGGGGGGTCTGGGCTAGAGTTGCAGCGACCACGGTTTAGTGCACGTGGTGGCAACGGGTTGATGATTGCACCAGATGATCTTAGCAGTCTTTCCCAGCCTTAATGATTCTATGACTACAGCCCCAGAATGGCACCTGACACCGACGGGCTTGCCTTGTCCCTTCAGGACCCACTGCATCACCCAACATCCGCCACACCCTTCAGAGCTGCATCGCGCAAGCCGCCCCCCTGCACAGTGCAGCTCTCACGCTGAGCAGCGCCGCGCTGCGCCCGGCCTCAGGCTGCACACAGCCCACGGGCACCTGCTGCAGCCCGGCAGCAAAAGGCAGCACCAGGCGCTTCTGCCAACACTGCTGCATTTCCACGGAAAAACAGCTGGGCACCAAATCCTAACAGAGCAAGGCTGCGGAAAGGGGCTGAGACGAGACAACCAACACACCACACCGCTAATAGCTTTGGGAAGTGGACTTTTTATGCATTTCTCAGTTACAGTTCTAAGAATATCGTCACCATCAGCAACTCACGAGGTACTTCACACAGTCAATGAGAACTCTTTATTTCAATTCCATTTCCTATTTCTGTTTTGGACAGTACAAAGTCCCAGCTTTTAAACTCTTCAGAATGGCCACGGGAAAACCTCTCAAGCTGGCCAACACCACTTGAAAAGCGGCTGACTAATTTTTCCTGAATTCACAAAACGATGCAATTACTCTGAATATAATTTCATTCACATAATTTAGAATATAAAGCACTGTTCAACTCTGCCATATATTTTGAAAAATATACAAACC